TGAGGTTAAAAAGAAAAGTGTAGCTGTACTTTAAAGGATGTACATGCATAGACTGTTGTGCCAAGAACTGTGGAGCTAAGACGTATGTGCCTGTAGCATGAATCTCTTACATTACATGAAATAACTCTATCTCTGCAGACTTGTTGGAACTGTGGCCGTAAAGCAAGCGAGACCTGCAGCGGATGCAATATCGCCCGATACTGTGGATCGTTTTGCCAACACAAAGACTGGGAGAAGCATCATCGGATCTGTGGGCAGACTCTACACGGTCCAGCCAAGGCCCTGACCCCCATGCGCTCCCTACTGCCGAAACCCTCTGACCCCATACTGCTTAGCCCAGCTGTCGAACGGTCATCCAGCGGCACCTCTCGCTCTTCCACTCCTGCCTCTGTGGCCGCCGTGGAAAGCCTGTGAATACGGAATATCACCCCAGATCTCCCATCTATCGATTTTTTTTTTTTTTACTTTTACCTGCCATTTGTGGAATTGGATCAAAAAAGAAAAAAAAAATGTTCAAGTTACAAAAGTGAAACCTCTCCCCTAAACCCATCTGAGTGATCTATACATTTCAAATACCCCTTTTTCTTTTTAAAGGAGACCCAATGGACCAAAATATTTAACTTCTCTTGAACTGTAAGACCTGTATAGCACGTTGGACTGCGAACACACAAAAGGTGCTCCACGAACAGTAAAAACTGTTGAGGTTTCATAAATTAACATTGCTGACGTTGTCACCAGTATCTGACAGAGAGCGACCAATAGGATCTTGTTACTGCTTGTGCAGATCGCCCTCTCATCATCTCCGGCCTGACTGTTCCATGGCTTTCAGCTCTGGATATAAAGACTATTGTATATTTAAATTATTTTACTCTAAATGCAGCTACACCAAAATGGCAGTATATAGCATTACAAAAATTGCATGTTTTTCTTTTTTTTTAAATGTTTTTTTCTCAAAGTCTTCCCTTTTGTTGTATACGCCTACCTTTTTGTAGTTGACTTTTTTTTCAATGTGTACTAATAAAAGAAAGCATAAAAAGGCTTTTGCAACAAATTGTTACTTCGAATATGGCTGACTTTATATAATCTGAATAGAAAGTTACATATGGTAGGTCAAAACCAGAGCTAGAGAGGGCAAGCTGCATTGTGGGTAAGCGATAACTGGCCAATAGGAAGGAATAGTTTTAAAACTTTTTTGAAACTTAAAAAAGTTCCAGGTATGACCTTTTGGTAGCCTCTTCTGTGCAAGCCTTTGATCATGTTTTCCCTTTATTACCCTTTTGAGCGAAGCCTTGCCCTCGGAGATGCGTACATCAGTGGCGTAGCAATCACCGTAGCGACCCAGGCGGCCGCTATGGGGCCCGGGGGCACAGTGGGGCCCGGGGGCACAGTGGGGCCCGGCCAGATGCCGTGCGGGCTGCCTGGGTTGCTATGAGATCCTCTGCTGGCGGCTTTCACTGGCAGCTGCAGACGAACACGACGGTGTTCAGCTCACTGACAGTAATCTGTGCAGCAAAACGTTCCTCTCCAGAATCAATGAGAGCTAGCGGCGGCAGTGGAGCAGGCTGGACCAGGCAGTGGAGGAGGAGGCGGGGCCAGTGGTCGGCAGCCGGGGAGGAGGCGGGGCCCGGTGATGAAGAAGGAGGCGGGGTCCATCAGCGACCGTGGACGAAGAGGAGGCAGACAGGTAAAAAATTGCGACCAGCTCACCTGAGGGTGACCCTGCAGAGCCCACCATAGGAGAGTCTATGGTGGGCTCTGCAGGTTCACCCTTGGGTAGGATCTTGAGTGGGCTCTGCAATGGGTATAACTAGAAATCATGGGGCCCCGTGATTTCTAGTTACGCCCCTGGCGTACATCCTTGTTACTCTTCAGTGAACGTTCCTCAGTGGTTGGTTAGGGTGTTCTCATTGGGCAAAGGATGTAGAATGCATGAAGCTTGCTTATACAGTAGAACTCTGGCCTTCCCTTCAGTTTTGCACAGTTGAACAAGCTCCTGAAAGCCGGGAATTCCCTTTTTTTGTTCTTTTATGAAAGTTTATTTCAGATGTGCTATATATTCTATTCCCATACTAGTTATGTCTCCTTTTTATATATGGATTTGCAAAGATTTGAGGTGGTCACATCATGCTGCATCACTTGCTTGGTGATCTGCTGAATGACCACTGAGTATATTATTAAAGGGTAGGGTCACCTTTTCCAGTAAAGTGACCATGGAGACAAGGGGACCCAGTAGGTGTTGGTGACTGTAGATGCCATACCTGTAAGCCATTTTCTGTCTCTCTGCAGCCTGGCTGAAGTACCCATCATTTACATTGCCACCCTGCTTGCGTAGGACTCCCAAAAGATTATTTCTATCAGACTGTTCTAAACTATTAGGTCCTCTTGTCTGTAGACTTGTGCGCCGTCAAAAAATTTGTTCTGTTTCGTTTCGGAATATCCGTTATTTCGTATTTCGTAATTCGTAACTGAACTCGATTCGGATTCGTACGAAATACGAATTTTCGTTAGTGGCGGTTATATTTTCGTAACTTTACGAACATTCGTTATGATGAAGCTAAGAAGCAAAATACCTTTGTTAATATTGGAGTGGTAGTTGTTTTTTTTAATCCGAAATACGAATTCCGTTAACGGATTCCGTATCCGAATTTCGTATTTCGTATTTTAAAAAAAACTACATCAACTCCAATATAAATGTACTTTGCTTTTTAACTTCAATATTAAACGAATGTTCGTAACGGAACGAAAATACGTCAACGGAATTTCGTATTTCCTGCCTGTGTGTGTAACTGTGTATTGTAATGCAACCCTCAGCAGCAGCGGATCCGTATTTCGGGATTAAAAAAAAAAATCCTGTCATGTTGTTCAACCTCGTTTACAGGAGTAATATTAGTTCCTGTTTCAAAGAAATTTTGGATCCGAAATTCGTTAACGGAATTTCGTATTTCGGATATAATTCGGAAACTGCCATTCGGATTTCGGATGCTCCGAAATTCGGAATTTCAGGAAAATTCGTACGAATTTCGATTCGTAACGAAACGAATCGCACATGTCTACTTGTCTGCATGGTCACTTTATTGGAAAGATGTGGCAAAGGTGAACGTTCATTTGGGGGAATCCTTTAATGTGTATATAAAGCCAAAATTTTTGTTTTAGATAGAGTAAAGAGTTTCTTTTTTTACTATTGGGGGAGATTTCCCTTTACGTCCTGTCCCAAAGACATATCAGGAAGTGATAGGAAATGTGGGGAAGATTCTCTTGCTGACAGTTGTTACTGCACCATTGGAAGACTTCCCCCTCGGTTCCTGTTTCAACTTTGAATTCTCTCTCACTTTTAGTCCTGGTGAAAATGGTCCCCAGCGGTGACAAACATCAAATAAAAGCAAACCTGACAGGGATGATACTCTACTCTGCACATGCTATCCTACCAGTGTTGCCACGAGTCTCTGCGAGGTATATTGCGTACCTATTACCAACTTTGCAATACATTCACTCACATGAGTCCCTGTTCCCAATCTAAGGTCCCTATCTCACAAACAGGCCAGGGCAGAATTAAACAGGAGCCAATTAACCTACCAGCATGTCTTTGGTGTGTGAGAGGAAACCAACACTAGCAGAGAGAGAGCACACATACCTCCAAGCCAGTCCTGGCTGGGATTCAAACCAAGGACTGCAGTGCTGCAAGGTGGAAGTGCTAACAACTGAGCCGCTGTGCTGCCCAGAATATCCTTTTTACGAACATTCGTTATGATGAAGCTAAGAAGCAAAATACCTTTGTTAATATTGGAGTGGTAGTTGTTTTTTTTAATCCGAAATACGAATTCCGTTAACGGATTCCGTATCCGAATTTCGTATTTCGTATTTTAAAAAAAACTACATCAACTCCAATATAAATGTACTTTGCTTTTTAACTTCAATATTAAACGAATGTTCGTAACGGAACGAAAATACGTCAACGGAATTTCGTATTTCCTGCCTGTGTGTGTAACTGTGTATTGTAATGCAACCCTCAGCAGCAGCGGATCCGTATTTCGGGATTAAAAAAAAAAATCCTGTCATGTTGTTCAACCTCGTTTACAGGAGTAATATTAGTTCCTGTTTCAAAGAAATTTTGGATCCGAAATTCGTTAACGGAATTTCGTATTTCGGATATAATTCGGAAACTGCCATTCGGATTTCGGATGCTCCGAAATTCGGAATTTCAGGAAAATTCGTACGAATTTCGATTCGTAACGAAACGAATCGCACATGTCTACTTGTCTGCATGGTCACTTTATTGGAAAGATGTGGCAAAGGTGAACGTTCATTTGGGGGAATCCTTTAATGTGTATATAAAGCCAAAATTTTTGTTTTAGATAGAGTAAAGAGTTTCTTTTTTTACTATTGGGGGAGATTTCCCTTTACGTCCTGTCCCAAAGACATATCAGGAAGTGATAGGAAATGTGGGGAAGATTCTCTTGCTGACAGTTGTTACTGCACCATTGGAAGACTTCCCCCTCGGTTCCTGTTTCAACTTTGAATTCTCTCTCACTTTTAGTCCTGGTGAAAATGGTCCCCAGCGGTGACAAACATCAAATAAAAGCAAACCTGACAGGGATGATACTCTACTCTGCACATGCTATCCTACCAGTGTTGCCACGAGTCTCTGCGAGGTATATTGCGTACCTATTACCAACTTTGCAATACATTCACTCACATGAGTCCCTGTTCCCAATCTAAGGTCCCTATCTCACAAACAGGCCAGGGCAGAATTAAACAGGAGCCAATTAACCTACCAGCATGTCTTTGGTGTGTGAGAGGAAACCAACACTAGCAGAGAGAGAGCACACATACCTCCAAGCCAGTCCTGGCTGGGATTCAAACCAAGGACTGCAGTGCTGCAAGGTGGAAGTGCTAACAACTGAGCCGCTGTGCTGCCCAGAATATCCTTTAAAGCAGAACTCCATTAATTTAATCAATGCCCCCCCATGCACTGCGAGGGTTAAGTGCGTGTTTTGTCTGGAGGGCTCAAATAAAGCAGATATGCTCTACTGATCCTCTGTCCCACAGACTCCCTCCAGGCTGCTAGACTGGTTCCCGCAGCCTCTTCTCCCCTGGGCTCTTGTGTACCGCCAGCATCATCACGTGTAATACAGGTCCATTGCCTTGCATTAGACGTGCAGATGCTGAGGGACATAGAGGGGGGAGAGAGGTGATCACTGACAGCCACAGAACGAGGATCATGTGACTAAATCTGCTTTATCTGAGCCCCCTAGACAAAATAAGCACTTAGGCCTGCTTCCCACTTGGGCGTTTTACAGCGCGTTCCTACGTGGTGTAAAACGCTTAACATGTGAAATTCAATAAATGCCCATGGGCATGGTTCCCACCTGGGCGTTTTTACAGCGCGTAGGAACGCGCTGTAAAACGCCCTACGCCCAAAGAAGTACAG